TGGCCCGAGGCAGCCGATGCAGCCGCCGCCCCAGCACATGATTTCGCCCGCTGTGTCTAAATCTGCGTCGGTGGTCGTTTCTGTTGCGCCGATGCCCGTGGCAAAGGTCATGGGCGCGCCCCCTCCTGGGTGGGTGCCTTACTAGGTGCAGAGCCTGACGACGCCGACGACGACGACGACGACGCACGACGAGGACCCTCGCACTCGTAGCATCTATAGATGCCACGAGTGCGAGGGTCCTCGCCGTGGCCGAAAAGGCTATAGCCTTTTCGGCCACAAGAGCGTCCAAGATGACGACGACGACATCGACGATGATAAAGTTTTTGTTCAACTCTCGCCGCGGTAGTTGATCGCAGCGCAGCTGGCTATTGACACAGCTCTGTGCTCCCAGCGCACCTGCCTCGTCTGCTAAAGATTCGGCGAAATGCCCGAAGACCGAACGGGGGAGGGTAGAGGAGGGAAACTATAGCAACGAGAGGGTCTCATAGGGTTCCCCAAGGGGCCCCATATGGTTCCCCAAAGGGTCTCAGAGGGTCACCCGACGACCGAACGAGGGAAGGTTCCTCAAGGGGTCTCATAGGGTTCCTCCTAGGCTTTCTTGGTCCCTCCCAGGCTGGATGATAGCGTTGGGGGCCAGGGAGCCTCCGACAGCTCCCGCAGAGCTCTGCATTAGCTAGCGGGGGCTTCAATTCGTGTATCTACGTGGTGCAACATACGCGGTGCAATCTATGTGGTGCCGCCTATGCGGTGCAATCTAGGTGACGTGGTGCAACCTATGTGGTGCAATCTATGCGGTGCAATATGTGTGGTGCACTCTTGTGGTCTACTCTATGCGGTGCCGCCTATGTGGTGCAATATACATGGTGCAACCCATTTGGCGTATTATACGCGATGCATCAGTTGCCAACGCGGAAGCAACATCACGCATGCAGTATTAGCCATTTTGGCCCACGTTTCATGACCCACACCGCGAAGAGATCGCGCTTGGGGGGTCTTGCGAGAGATTCGTTCGTCACCCAGAATGCTCTTTCCAAGCTTCTGAGGAAGCTGAATGATGAGGGCCTGCCCGACGCATTCAGCACGTTTGCGCAGCGGAAGGAAAGAGAATCAGTCGGTCGGCAGTCCTCGCAATTTGGTTCTTTGGTGCAGAAGGTATCTGTTGTTTCGTCCGATGGGGAACCTGTTGAGATATGGGTGCAACATCCGTTTGCCTGGCTCGAGATAGCGTGCAAGGAATCGTGCTCTTTCAAGGACCTCTTGCAAAGCACGCTGGACCGCTCGAATGGCAGGTTGGACGTCATCGTCTACTCAGACGAAGTCACCCCAGGGAACCCCCATGGGGGATTGCAACGACAGAAAATTGCAGACTATATATTGGACGGTGAAGCAGTTCCCATTAGAGGCCTTGTGCAACGAGTTGTGCTGGATGACTGTTTCTACGTTGACTTCGAAAGAGTGCGACTCGCTCGCGGGAGGTCTTTCCGAGATGTTCAAGCACGTGCTGAAGTTCTTCCTCGGCGCGCCCACTGGGCACGACCTTCGCTCAGGCATTGCTTTCGCGATGCCAGGTGAGCAGCAGCCTCGCCTCCTCGTCGGGACTGTGGCCATCATGCTGCAGGACGAGCGGGCCCACAAGTTCGCAACCCACTGCATCGGCAGTGGGGGACATAAGGTGCGCGTGATGTGCAAGAACATCCTGGCCAAGAACTCGTCCCTACTACCTGACCCCAGCGGGCACTTGCGGAGCTCAACCACGGTCGACATGAGCTTGTTCGATTATCACGATGACGATTCCGTGCGGGCCATCCAACTCCGATTAGCCGAAGTCGCGGCCAACGACCCAGGGAGCCTCGGCGAGAAGCAAACTTTATTGGGTTCAATTTTTTCCCAACTGGGGTCTTACAGGACTGCTCGCTCAACCTAGGGCTTATTAGTGTGTGGGCGTGGGACTGGATGCACATCTTCTTAGTCGACGGCATCTACATCACAGAATTGCGCGCTCTCTCCAGCCTGCTGAAGAATGCCAGCCTCGGAGGCGAAGCTTGGGATGCATATTTGAGCCAGTGGGTTTGGCCAGGCGCGCATGCGCACGCCAAGAAACTTTGCAAGGGCAACAAGACCTTTTCACCAGGCGGTAGCGCGTCAGAGCAGATGGCATCATGCCAAGTGATATCGAAGTTTCTTCGGGACGTCGTTGCGCCTACAGGGTTGTACCCCGAGCAAATCGAGAGCGCGCTGCTCCTGTGCGACGTCGTCGAGCTCCTCAGCGTCGCCAACGCAGGGATTGTAGATCCAGTGATGCTGGGCATCGCAATACTTAAGTTTTTGAATGCGCACCTCCGCGCATGGGGTGAAGACCTTTGGAAGCCGAAGCACCATTGGTTGATGCATCTGCCTCGCCAGTTTTTGCAGCATGGGCTCCTGTTGGGATGCTTCCTCTGCGAGAGGAAGCACCGAGTCCTCAAGCGCTTCTCTGATAGCCATCATAACACGAAGTCTTTCAACAAGTCCCTCCATGAGGAGGCGACAGCTCAACACCTTTACGATTTGCGCAATCCGTTGGTTCATTCTGATCTTCTTGAGCCGAGAACGGCGAGCAAGAAGATGGAGCGCGCGTTGCGTTCGGAGTTGTCTCTGCCTGTCAGTGCCAGCATTCTGACGTCGAAAGCGGCGTATATTCGGTCCAGGATAGTCCAGCGCGGAGACACGGTCTGCTATCGCGTCCAGGGCGGTGGAGTTGGCTACGGACAGCTTTATTTTCACGCAAAGGTGCAAGACAGGCTATTGTGTTGCATTTCTAGGTGGACTGTGTTGCACTCCAGCTCTCGGCAAGTCAATTGCGTCGTTCGGGAATCCCCCGAACTTCTTGATTCGGCCTGCGTTTTGGATCCGTGCATTTCTTTTTTCGCTAGGGCTGGCCAGGTCTCAGAGGTGCTCGTGCCAACAAGAGAGAGGCTCGGGGCCGTCTCTTGAGCGCCACGTCGCGGTGCGACACAGGCGCGCACTCAGCCAAACTGCGTTTGTCAGCCAGGACTGTTCGGATGGTACCTCCCCGTTGGACTGTGCAGAAGCAAGCCATCGCTCCCTTCGAAGACGCCTGCGGCGAATCGCCGCCGCCCCCCTGCCTTTTAGGGGAGCGCCTCCGCGGCCGCGCGTTGGGCCCCAGCTGCGCCCGCACTATGGATTCCCCCAGCCGCGCTGGATATTCTTGGCGCTTCGCGCGCCCCCACTCGCCCGTCCAGAAACGACGCCCATGCGCGTTGATGCCATGAGGGAAGTGTGGGAGCAAATATGGGGACAGCCGAACTGTTCGAATGAGGAGGAGGAGGCGAATGAGGGGGATGGGTGGGTCGATGGTGGAGGAAGGGCACGGGCGATGATGATGATGATGATGAGGAGGAGGGGGAAGATCAAGAGGAGGAGGAAGAGGAGGAAGAAGATGAACGGGCGACATGGGCGTGCCGCCCGCTACGGAGGGATCAGTTCCCCAGTCCCTTGGCGGCACAGGGGGGCTCTCGGGCGTTTTGGGTGCCTCAGGGGGGCCTCTGGGGGCCGACCTATGACCCTGCGGCCATGCGACCCTGAGACCCGACCTAAGACCCTAAGACCATGGACCCTAAGTCCATACTACACTAACACCGTGCGACCCTAAGACCCTAATACCATAATGCACTAAACCACTATACCCTAATACCCCAAGGCCTTAATACCCTAATACCTTAAGGCCGTATACGGCCCGAATGCCCCAAGGCCCTGAGGCCCTTAGACCCTAATACCCAAAGGCCCTGATACCCTAAGACCCTATAGGACCCTGAGACCCTGAGACCCAATGGCCTGAAGACCCTAAGATCCTAAGCCAATGCATCGCAAAGACCCGACCTAAGACCGTAACACCCTAAGACGTTAATGCAGTAAGTCCATCAGACCTTGAGACCCTAAGATCCGAACGGCCCTAATGCCTTAATGTCCAACGGTCTTATAAGGCCCTATACCCTGAGACCCTGAGACCCTGAGGCCCGAATACCCTATGACCCTAAGAAACTACGACCATAAGACACTAAGGCCTTAGGGCAGTAATACAATATGACACTAATACCCTACGGCCCTGTAGAGCCTAGTACCCCAAGGTCCAAAGACCCTAAGGCCATAAGGCCCTAGGGCCCGAAGGCCCCGAGACCATCAGACCATGTAGGAGGCCCTGAGACCATAGGGCCCTAAGGCACGACTGCCCTAACGCCCTAACGCCCTAAGACCCTAAGGCCCTAAAAGCCTAAGATCCTAAGACCCTGAGACCCTACCGAATACCCTAAGACCTTAATGCCATAATACCGTGAGACCATACGGCCCTAACGCCCTAAGGCCCGACGACCCTAAGACGCAAATGCCCCATAAGACCATATGACCGTAAAAGGCCTTATAAGACCCTAAGGCTCTAATACCTTACGGCCATAAGGCCCTAAGGCCATAAGACCCTGAGACCATCATGCCCTCAGACCATAAGGCCGTGCAAGTGCGCGTGAACGCATACATGGAGAGCAAAACGTTTTATATGCGCGCGCATTTGTTCTGCATGCTATCCGAAAACGATGAATAGCAAGAACATATACAATTATGCATCGCCAAAAACAAATCGCCACCAAACCAAAAAACAAAAAAAAACACGCCGATTGCAAAACAAATCCGCGCTGTTTGTCGGCGCTTGCAGCGCTTGGCAAGAACATATAACCAGGTTAAGCCGCCGCCTGTCCTGATTACTGAAACTCTGATAAACAGTTTAGGCGGTTCGGCCATAATGGATAAAACTACGTTAGAAACAGCAGAAGCTGCTCCCCGATAACGCGCTTCATAAGTAGGTTAGGTAACCGACCCAACGCCTTTAAAACTTATTATACCCAAGCCAACCAAATACCAAGCGACCAATCGATCCCAGTGCCGCAAGAGCACCTTCCTCGTCCGGCCCCCCGTGGGGGCCGCACCGCCTCCCGGCGCGCCCCGTGCAGGAGCGGGTGCGCAAGTGCGCGCGCGACTCCGGCTACGAGCGCGCCGTCTTCCTGGCCCGCCTGCCGGAGCCCCCGCCGCTCGCTGCCGCCCCCACCGCCCGCCGCCGCTCGCTGCACGCCTGCACGCCTGCGCGTCGTGGGTGTCGGGGCGCACGCGCACCACGCCGGGGCTCCGAGGCGGGAATCTACACATGACAACCCCCCGGAGGATCAGCTTTCGCGGGCCTCGGCAGGCGGTGGGTATGGATGTATTCTGGCCCCCGGGGGCCAACATACGTATATCCATATCCACCGCCCGCGGGGGCTCCAGGACGTCGGTTCCCAGGCGGTGGATATGGATGAATTCACGCCTCGCACACACGCACATGGCAGGGGGCGCGTGTGCCCCAGGAATGTTTCTGCGCGCGTGAGCGCTGGCGCACGTCAGCTAGCAGAGCGCATGTGCAGCCTAAGCACGCGGTGCGCCACGGAGTCCGCGCTGCAGATTGTGCCGGTTGCCAGAGGAGGTGTCGTGCACTACTGGCGCTTGCTTGTGGAGAGGAGGAGGACGACGACGGCGGGGAGAAGCGTGAGGAGAGGGGAAGATGATGAAGAAGGAATGGAGGGAGATGGAGGAGGAGGAGGAGGAGGAGCAGGAGCAGGAGAAGGAGGAGAACCAGCCGGAGGAAGCGGCGGAGGGGGAGGGGCAGTGGAAGGGATGAACGGAGGAGAAAGGGAGGCGGAAGAGGAGGAGGAGGAGGAGGAGGAGGATGAGGAGGAGGAGGAGCAGGAGCAGGAGCAGGAGGAGGAGGAGGAGGAGGAGGAGGAGGAGGAGGAGAGGGGATTTGAGGTTGATAATCGCCCACGTCCTCGTTTGTCCCAGGACCTGGCCTTCCAGGTGCAGAAGCCAGTGCTGCAGAAGTGCCGCCACATTTTCGTTTTTCTGTCAGTCTGCTTGTGCCGCTCTTTTGGTTCCGCCGTGCACTGTCCCTCGCCGATGTTCTGCTACGAAGGCTCCAGCGTCCACCACTTCAGTCTCGTGCTTCCCTTCTGATTCTACTTCTATTGGATAAGAAACTCCGCATTAACAAAATTTACTTGCGGAGCCCTGCGTGGATTTATTAGATCGGCGCTGATACCCCCTCCCCGGCGCGCGGAGCGCGCCAGGGGCGGCGCTGGAGGCCCCGCCACCCGGCTCCAGCGCAGATCCAAGAAATCCACGCGAAGCGCGAAAGTTTATTACCTAACAGCGAAGACTGATAGGTTTCTAGTAGGGTCAAAAGAGAGCATCTTGACTCCCCAGGGGGGTCTGGGCAGGATCCGGGGGGATGCCGGGGAATTCGTTTTAAGGAAACAGTAACGCACTTCGTGGCCTTCGAGTTCCCAGAACTCCATTATTTTGAATGCCCGGAGCCAACTGTAGGCCACTTCGTGATCTTCGTGTTCCCAGAACACCATTCCCGGGCCACATTTTGAATGCCTGGAGCCAACTGTAGGCCACTTCGTGTTCTTCGTGTTCCCAGAACACCACTCCCGGGCCACATTTTGAATGCCCGGAGCCAACTGTAGCCCACATCGTGTTCTTCGCTTCCAGAACACAACTCCCGGGCCACATTTCGAATGCCCGGAGCCAACTGTAGGCCACTTCGTGTTCTTCGTGTTCCCAGAACACCATTCCCAGGCTACATTTTGATTGCCCAGAGCCAACTGTGAGGCTGAGGCTGAGGCAGGCTGAGGCTGAGGCAGGCTGAGACTGAGCCTGAGGCAGGCTGAGGCTGAGGCTGAGGCTGATGCAGGCTGAGGCTGAGAGGCTGACGCTGAGGCTGAGGCAGGCTGAGGCTGAGGCTGAGGCTGATGCAGGCTGAGGCTGAGGCAGGCTGAGGCTGAGGCCGAGGCTGAGGGCTGAGGCTGGCTGCAGGCTGAGGCTGAAGCTGAGGCAGGCTGAGCTGAGGCTGAGGCTGGCTGAGGCAAGGCTGAGGCTGAGGCTGAGGCTGAGGCGAGGCTGAGGCAGGCTGAGGCTGAGGCTGATGCAGGCTGAGGCTGAGAGGCTGACGCTGAGGCTGAGGCAGTCTGAGGCTGAGGCCGAGGCCGAGGCTGAGGCTGAGGCTGAGGCAAGCCGAGGCAGGCTGAGGCTGAGGCTGAAGCTAAGGCAGGCTGAGGCTGAGGCTGAGGCTGTGGCTAAGGCTGAGGCAAGCTGCGGCTGAGGCAGGCTGAGGCTGAGGCTGATGCAGGCTGAGGCTGAGGCAGGCTGAGGCTGAGGCTGAGGCAGGCTGAGGCTGAGGCTGAGGCTGAGGCGAGGCAGGCTGAGGCTTGAGGCTGAGGCAGGCTGAGGCTGAGGCTGCTGGCTGAGGCTGAGGCAAGCTGCGGCTGAGGCAGGCTGAGGCTGAGGCTGATGCAGGCTGAGGCTGAGAGGCTGACGCTGAGGCTGAGGCAGTCTGAGGCTGAGGCCGAGGCCGAGGCTGAGGCTGAGGCTGAGGCAAGCCGAGGCAGGCTGAGGCTGAGGCTGAAGCTAAGGCAGGCTGAGGCTGAGGCTGAGGCTGTGGCTAAGGCTGAGGCAAGCTGCGGCTGAGGCAGGCTGAGGCTGAGGCTGATGCAGGCTGAGGCTGAGGCAGGCTGAGGCTGAGGCTGAGGCAGGCTGAGGCTGAGGCTGAGGTCGAGGCAGGCTGAGGCTTAGGCTGAAGCTAAGGCAGGCTGAGGCTGAGGCTGTGGCTGAGGCTGAGGCAAGCTGCGGCTGAGGCAGGCTGAGGCTGAGGCTGATGCATGCTGAGGCTGAGGCAGGCTGAGGCTGAGGCTGAGGCAGGCTGAGGCTGAGGCTGAGGCCGAGGCAGGCTGCGACTGCGAGAACAGCAGAATTCTACAACTGGATTCTCACCTAAATCTTAAGGGGAATGCTTCCAGATGTGCTTCTACACATCGCTGTTAGGTTGCTTTGCCGGGATACTTTTCATGTTTCTCTTCTCTTCTGATCCCACTCTCGCGCTTCCCTTCTACTTTCGCTTCTCTGCTTCGGGCTGCGGTCTGTGTTCGAGCATCATGTCCGTGGTTCTGCCTCGGCTCGTGGTGGTGCTCTGCTTCTGCTCTCCTTCGGATCGATTGTCTCAACATCGTTTGACCGACCCCTATCCCCGTCCCCATCCAGACCCCCACCATCTCAGCACCCCAGTTGGGGATGTACCCCTGGACACCCGAAGAAAACGGCCATCCCCATCTAGGAGGGTAAATCGGCCGGGGGGTCCAGGCCAAGCCGTTGGGGATAGGGGTCGGAGAAACCATGCTCACAGCATGCCCCAGGGTGCCTCGCCTGACTCGGTGCTCCTCCCCTGGGTGCTGGGAGCGCACGGCCGCGAACGCGCCGCGGCTGCTGGGCAGCACCTCTTCGGGGACTCCGTTGCGCCGTGAGCCCCGTGCCGGATCTCTTCGCTCTCCTGCCTCTCACGTCCCGGGTCGCCGCGCACGCGGCTCTCACGCAGAGGAGCTAGATGGAGGTCGCGATAATCATGTGCTCCGACGGTTCCAAGGTTTCCAGGACTTCCAAGATGCCCAAAGGTTCCACAAGGGCTCCAGAAGCGAGGGTCGCTAGGCACCCTGTAAAGCCTGGAACGTATGCTGAGCCAATCCTATCATGACATCGTTCTCGTCCTACTCACGGTTGTCTGCGCACGCCTCGCTTGCCGTGCGCGCGTGCGAGGACGAAATCGCACCACCGCTCGCTTGCCACTGTGGCCATTCGCTCTGCGCCCAGCCACCAGCAGATCTACTTAAATGTAGGGTCATTGGCAGGTCAGCCGTTGGGCAACGGCCAGCTGGATATGCCGTGGAGGCTTCGTTGCCGGGCGCCTTCGGTCACTATGGAAGGGCTCAGCCCTCTCTCCTTCCCCTTGCCCACTCCCCTGCGCAATTCCTCAACCCCCATCCCCTCTCCCTCCATCCCTCGCACTCCCTTCCTGCACTGGTCTTGCCTCCTCCTGGTCTCCATCCGTCCATCCCTACATGCCGCAATGCCATTCTCCCCAAGCTCCTTCCGTTCCTCCCTCCTCTCGTGCATTTCTTGTTTCTCTCCCCCCTCCCAGCCTGGCCCACCTTCCCCTTCCTCCATTCGACCTCCCTCGTTTCCTCACCCCCGTTCCTTTCTGACACCCTACCTCCTCTCTCCAGCATCATCATCTGCTTCGTCGTCATGATGATCATCATCATCATCATCATCATCATCATCATCATCATCATCATCATCATCATCATCATCATCATCATCATCATCATCATCATCATCATCCTGGGCGCGTTCAACCTTGAACGCCCGCCCCGGGACCGCCGCCGCGTCGACGCGACTCGAACCCACTGTACGTGAAACTGCGGTCGCCGACCGCGCGCTCAAGATCGACTAGACCGGACTCACTCCTGCAGCGACAATTTCTGTGGCCGCTTCTGTCTTGAAGCCCGAAGCATCGTCTCTGCTGCCGCCCAGGCTTTTCTGGGGGCCAAGATGCTGCCTCCCAGGCCTCCTCGACCCCGAGAGAGTCCACTTCTCGAGGCCCAACACGTTTTTGTTGCTGCCCGGCCAGGCCTCCCGGGGGGCCGGCGGCTGCCTCCCGGGCCTCCGGAAGCCGAACACCCATGTGGCGAGGCCCGAGAAACCGTGTCTGCTGCCCCCCAGGACGTCGCTCGAGGCGCGAGGCGCTCGCGGGCCGACCGGTGCGAAACCGAGTCATCCGAAGCGACCAGCGCTCCTCCCCCTCCCCCTCCTCCCCCTCCTCCCCCTCCACAATTACGCAATATGAATACTACTCTCCCTCTTCCCCTGATGACGTCTTTTGCGTATTCGCCCCTCCCTGCGTACTGTTTTTTTTAAACACACACACACACACGATTCCCCGGAGTTGGGTTTTCGCCTGCGTTTTTTTTTCAAAATGCTGCTCTCGCTGAGGCGCCGGCCTCATTTCTGCTCCCGAATCGTTCCGAATCGTGCTCCCGCTGCAGCGTGGGCCTCATTTTCGGATCGGCGTTTTGCCTCCGTCGTTCAGGATGGCGTTCTCGCCCCAGCGCGGGCCTCTTTCTCGCGCGCCCATCCGCCCGCCACCACCGCGCCGCACCACGCCCCGCCCCGCCGCACGCACACCCACCGCCACTTCCACCCACCAACGCACGCACGCACGCACGCGCACCACCACCGCGCACCGCCACCACCACCGCACTACCCCACCCACCACCACCACGCTACACCGCGTCACACCACATCACACGCGCGCACACACAGACACGCACGCACCACGCACGCACGCACGCACGCACGCACGCACGCACGCACGCACGCACGCACGCACGCACGCACGCACACACACACACCACACACACACACACACACACACACACACACACACACACACACACACACGCACGCACGCACGCACGCACGCACGCACGCACGCACGCACGCACGCACGCACACACACACACCACCGCCACCGCCACCACCACCACCACCACCACCACCACCACCACCACCACCGCCATCACGCACGTACGCACCTGGCCCACCACCAAACCACCAAGACGCCACACCACGTCACACCACAGCACACGCGCACACACGCACACACACACACATACACACCACCACCACAACAACCACAACCACGCACACACGCACGCACGCACGCGCACCACCACCCACTACGCACACGCGCGCGGAGCCACAGGTCCGCTACGACACGCGTTCGCGGATAGAGAAAATCAGCGCCATGGTAAGGGATGGGAGGGAGGGGTAGGATGTCAGATGTTGACGCGAGCGCACCTAACTTGCCCTCCTCCCCCTCCTCCTCCTCCTCCGCCTCCGCCTCCTCCTCCCCCTCCTCCTCCGCCTCCTTCTCCTCCTCCTCCTCCTGACTGGTCGCAGGCCTGCCCGCCTGCGCGCGTGCCTGCAGCGGGCATCCCGGGCAAAGGGCCGCACAAAAACCGAACGGACCGAACCGATCGATTCCAACGGAGCCGGTCGAGCCGCGAGCAGCCATGATTTGAACGGGAAAGAAGAGGGGAAGGAGGAGGAAGGGGGAGAGGGGGCAGAGACATCCCAGATGCGCAGTGCACACGAGGATACCAGGAGAAGCACCCTTGGATATCCACGCGCATCGAATCGAAATCGAATCGGATCGAACTCGAATCGGAATCGAGTCGATTTCCAACTGCGCCGAATCTGGTCCGAGTCGAATCGGAAGCCCGCGCAGATGAACCCGTGGCGCCGAATCATTATGGAGGATAGGTTAAGAAATTCAGGTACCTCCAGGAGTAGATATCGTTCAACATCGGACGATCCACGCGGTGTAAAAAAACAGCTCTGAAATCGTGCACGCTGGCGTCTTCTGCTGACGTCGAGCGACGTTTCAGCGTGGCAGGGTGGCCTCTGAGGGGTCGCGAGTGGCTTGGTTCTTACACGGCAGATTCCGTCGTGATGTGCAATGCAATGCACGAGCAGGTGTAGTCTGCATGAGGCAGGCGCGTTGCCGGTCAAACCTTGTGATGGGCAACGGATCGCCCTCCGCGCTGACGAATTCGTCGTTTCTCCTTCGTCGTCTTTGTCGTTCTCGAGCTTCGTCGACTTGGGAACGTGCCCGAGCGGGCGGCGGTTGGCGGGCGGGGTCTGGGGCCCTCAGATCTGTGTCGGGTCCACCCCCGTGGCTTGCTTTCGGGAGCCAGCACACGCTCTGTCCAGAAGCATTGCCGTCCCTTCGTTCCCGCATTCGCACTCCCCCCCGTCGCCTGCGTCGTCGAAACATCCTGGAAGGACGGTGGCAGAGGGGGTACGGGGTCCGCGGCAGCGGACAGGTAGGAGGTCACACGCGATCCTTGCCCTACCACCCCACGATTTTTGAGGAGGAAGGTGGGGTCCATCTCCGGGCGAAGTGAGCCCCCCCTACGCCGATTTTTCGAGCCCTAAAACATCGTTTCCCAGGAGCGGTGGTAGGCCACAGGCGGCTGGGTTTTGAGAACTCCTCGGGTTCGAGAAACGCTTTTTTTCTCGGGGCGCGACGGTTGATCTACGAGCCTGTGCCGATTTCGATTATGCTGCCGCTCCCCTCCTTCGCTTCAGGGCGAAACGCGATGCTCAGGGCTTGGAATATTGATTTCCACGGGAGGACAGGCCAGCTTGCACCCGCAGTCGCAGTCACGTGCTCCCGCGCTTGCTTGATCCCGCCTTCGCCTCCGCGTTCGTTCCCAACCTCGTTGTTCCTCCTGTCGTCCTCTCCGCCCTCAGCTGTTCCTCTGGCGCATCGATGCTGATGCTTCGCGCTGGCTGTCCGGTGCGGGGATTGCGCATTTGGCTGAGGGGCGGCGCCGTGGCTCGCCAACCCCAGGGGGGCTCTTGACCGCTCGCTTTGGGCAACCAACCCAGTTGCACCTGCCAGTCGATTTGGCAGGGTTGCGAGTCGAAAAGACACCTTTCGAGACGAGGAACGAAACAATTTCGATTTCGCGGCGAGTCGCGGGCGACGAGGTGCCGTTTTATGTGTTTGTCGGTTTTCAAAAGTTGTTCTGAATTTCGCGCCGATGCGCGCGGGCGCATGCAGCGCCAACCGATCAGATTCGTTGTGCTCGCCAGTGCGCCCGCGGGGACCGCGGGGGCAGGCCCTCGTACGACTCCACTGATTTATCGTCGCCAGCGGGCTAGAGTTGCTCAGTGTGTCTGTGCCACTGCGCCGCGATCTCTTGGCGCGGCAGTCGCTTGGACCTGCATTCCGATTCGATTTCGATTCGGCTTGGGCTACCGACTTGCAGCCGAATCGATTTAGATTCCTACCCGACTCGACGCAGCGCCCAGGCATTCCGATTCGATGCCGATGCGATGACAGCCCGATCCGCTCCGATTAGGCGTCATCAGCATCATCATCATCACCATCATCATCATCCACCACCATCATCACCATCATCATCCTCATCCTCCTCCTGATCATCATCCATCCCTCTCTTTACCAGAGCCTCCAAGTCAGCCTCCAATCCCGCCCCTTCAGAAAACCTCCGAATCTGGCGACGCCCCGACGACGGCGGCAGCGACGGCGATGACGACGACACCGACGAAAACGTCGACCACGGCGCCGACGCCAACGATGCTGGCGGCGGCGGCGGCGACGGTGGCGACGACCTTGGCGACGCCGGCGATGGCGGCGGCGGCGACCAGGTGGGGTTTCGAGGCCAGCGCGCACGGCGTCCGCGAGATGACCGCCGCCCTGCGCGACCCCGACGGAAGCGGGCAGGAGCCGTCGGCAGCGCCCGCGGCCGCGCGTCGGCGTCGTTCGTGGTCGTGGGGGGTCGTCGTCGTCGTCGTCGGCGTCGTCAACACCGACGTGGTGGTGGTGGTGGTGGTGGTGGTGGTGGTGGTGGTGGTGGTGGTGGTGGTGGTGGTGGTGGTGGTGGTGGTGGTGGTGGTGGTGGTGGTGGTGGTGGTGGTGGTGGTGGTGGTGGTGGTGGTGGTGGTGGTGGTGGTGGTGGTGGTGGTGGTGGTGGTGGTGGTGGTGGTGGTGGTGCGTGGTGGTGGTGGTGGTGGTGGTGGTGGTGGTGGTGGTGGTGGTGGTGGTGGTGGTGGTGGTGGTGGTGGTGGTGGTGGTGGTGGTGGTGGTGGTGGTGGTGGTGGTGGTGGTGGTGGTGGTGGGTGGTGGTGGTGGTGGTGGTGGTGGTGGTGGTGGTGATGGTGGTGGTGGTGGTGGTGGTGGTGCTGGTGCTGGTGGTGGCGGTGGTGGTGGTCGTCGTTGTCGTCGGCGCCGTCGTCGTCGTGGTTTTCATCGTCATGGCGTCGTCGGAGGAGGGAGTGACGAGCCAGTGGGGGATGTCCCACCTGTCTGGATGACGCTGGCCGAACGCCCGATCTCTTCGTCCTGATGATCGCGTGTTCGATTATTGAGCTGCGTTGCCGCCACGGTAAGCGGCATCGTCAGCGGACGAGTAGCGTGGCCGCGTGGAAACATCAGGACTTGCGGTCGGCCGCGTCGGTGGATGGATGGTGCCGTGCCTTCTCGGAAGGCCGCCCCCCCCCGCTCTGTTTCCCCTTGCGCGCCGCACAAACTGCACACAAATGGATAGCATGGCTCAGGCATCGGACCGGTTCAGCCCAGGTTGTCTGATCCGACGTCGCAGCCCAAAAACGCAACACACGAGAAAATCACGGCTGGAACCCCAGACCCAATTTTCTGCGGCATGTCTCGAGTCGGATCCAATCCGCGGGGGGGGAACCTACCAGATCCGGTCGAACACGCCCGACGCAGCGCCCAGATCTCAGGGTCCCGCCTCCTTCCTCCGCACGCGACCGCGCCGCGAGGAGCTGCCCGCGTGGCTGCGGGAGAAGCAGGACCCGCCCCCCCCCCGAGGGACCCCCCCCGGAGGGCCGCGGGCGGAGGACGGGGAGGAGAAGGGGAGAGGCCGGAGGAGGGCGGGGCAGGGGAGAGGAGAGGGAGTCCGAGGAGGAGGAGGAGGAGGAGAAGGCAACGCATGAGAGAAGGTTGGGAGGGGATGAGGACGATGACTGCAGGAAGGAAGAAAAGAAGAGCGTCAACAGGGGATGAACGAGGAGGAGGAGGAAGAGGAGGAAGAGGAGGAGGAGGAGAAGGGAGGAGGAGGAGGAGGAGGAGGAGGAGGAGGATGAGCAGACCGGGGAAGACGAGCTGGAGAGTCAGGAGGCGGGCGAGAAGGAGGAGATGGCGAAGGCGGCGAGGGGAGGAGAAAGATCCGCCCGGCTTTCTTGAATCGGCGATCCGTCTGCCAGGGGGCTTCGAGCGCCGATCCAAGAAACCATCGCGGAGCTCCGAAAGCTTATGATTATGATTTGTTTCTTCCTCGAAGTAGGAGAGGTACAGTCAAGTCGTATAGCTAGGATTACCAATTTTCCAAGGCTATGCTTGCATCCTTGCTCATTCGGCCAATCCTTGGCGACGTTCCCTGGCAAGCCCCGCTCGGAAACGCCAACATGGCCCTCGATGGCCCCTGCATCCTTACAGCGCATCCTTATCATGCGACTTTCCTGCAGTGCTGGCGGAGCTGGGGAGGAGAAAGATCCGCGCGGATGTCTCGGATTGGAGCTCCGCCCGCCAGGGAGGGGGCCTCCAGCGCCGATCCAAACAACCAGCGCGGATATTTCTCCGAAAGTTGTGTGTAGTCATGCTTGTTTCTCTTCCCCGAAGTCAGGGAGGCATTGCTGGCGGAGCCGGAGGAGGCGGAAGGAGGAGGGGAGAGGGCACCTTGGGGAGAGGGTACCCTTGGATGTTCTTGTGCACCCCGGGGAGGGTACACTTGGATGTTCTGTTTGTTCTGGCTGGCAGAGGGTCTCGTGCTCTTGAGGGATGTGCTTCTTCTTCTTCTCTCCCCCGATGTCATGGAGGTGGTGCTGGCGGAGCCGGGGGAGGCGGCAGGAGGAGGAGGAGGAGGCCGCGTGCTCCGGCAGGACCGCTGCCTCGAGCTGCTGTACGGCGGCAAGGACGGCGCGGCGGCCCCGCTGCCTGCGGGCCCCGTGCTGGGCGCGGCCTGGTCGGCCGTCGCCCCTCGGCAGGCTCGGTTGTCCGCTTACGGCGTGTTCGCTGGTGGCCCTGTGCCTGGCAGGAGCGAGCGAGGAGCGAGCGGGCGAGGAGCGAGCGGGCGAGGAGCGAGCGAGCGAGGAGGAAGGAACGAGGACGAGGAGGAGGAGGGCGGATCCGATGAAAGCGGAGGAGGAGGAGGAGGAGGAGGAGAAGATGACATGGAACTCATTGAAGAAAGAGGCGCCCGAGGGGGCGGAGGAGGATCCGGGCGACGGTGAGGATGAAAGGAGACGAGCTGCTTGTGGTCAACATAGATGGCTTCAGCAGCGGCGCGCCAGATGTCTAGTCAGGGTGCTGGCAAGACTCCAGTTCGGAGTCCGGAGCCCCTTCTCTCATGATTGCCTCCTCCCATGGCCGCCTCCTCTGCAAGCGCCCACCGTCACGCAGGAGGGCAAGATGCTGGACGCCCTCGTCCGGTGACAGGCCGCGCGGGCTGTGTGTCGTCGTTGTTGCATTACTCCTTACTTAGGCTTCGACACCTCGCTCACCCCTAACTGCGCCAGAGGGTTACATTCCGAGACGGTGTGCCAGCTTCCACTCATTCCGAACTGCTCCACTCCAGGTCCCTTTGTGGCCATCTTGAGAATCGAGATAAGTGGGAAACAACTAGAAGCATGAGCAACGCATGCTAAGCTAAATTCTGATCGTTCCCCTGGTCCCCGTCCACATTCTACCCCCAGCCGGCAGTCTGCCTTCTGCGGTCATCGCACTTGCTCCTTACAACTATCTGCCTGCATGGTTGTGGTTTCTCTCAAGAGGCAGGCAAGGGAGGCGGGGGGCAGAGCAGAAACTTTAATGATCAGGAGGAAGCGAAGTAAAGTAAGGCGGCGTAGGAACAAACCAGGAGCGAGTATCGCCCAACGACAGAGCGTGCACGATTTCGCTGTACAGCTAACAGCATGTTGTTCCCCCAAACAGTGTTGCAGTCAGGGGATCCTAGGCGGGTCGGGATTTCGGCACGTGCCCGCCAGTGGGGGCACCTCGCGTGCGCCCATGAGGCACACACGTTCCAGGTCTTCATGCTCTGTGCGTGTTCCTGCTTCTTCTTCTTCTTCTTCCCCGTGCCCGCGCTCTTTCCTACCTCTTCCTGTACCCCGTTGCGCCCCTCGGCAGCCTCCGAACGCCGCTTGGACCCAAGCAGCTGCGACAAAAACAGTGCGCCCTGTTGGCTGGCTGGGCGGGCCGGGGTTTCGGCACGTGCCCGCCCGTGAGTGCCTCGTGTGCGCCCCGTGCGCTGGCAGGGTGGGCCGCGGGGTTACCGGCCCCTTCCCGCAGTTTGACAATCTGCGGGACGGGGCCGGTAACCATCGCAAGATGTGTGAAGAACAATCTGATGTTGTTCTTCTCGCATCTGTCATGCACGATCGTCCATCCGAAGTATCGAACAGCATCATGCCAGCCGAGCCGGTATCGACCCCCCCCGCCATTCTTTGCAGAACGATCATCTGTGAACGTTGGGAAGCTGCGCATTCCGGGGCGCATGCGCACGCCGCCATGCGCGCACGTTAACATCATTCTCACACCGATGTGGTTGTTCACAGGCTCAGCGCATGGCATGCAACAGGCACTGCTTCGACAACACGAATTGCGAAGTTCTGCGCGAGACGCGCGCACTCGCTGAAGTCACACGAAAATCATCGATCGCGAGCCACTCTGACAGATGGCGGCATGCGGGCCACTCGCGCGCGAATGTTGAAAACGCTCAACTCAGCCGTCATCAAGCGCCCACCATCCATCGGGTGTTGCTAGAAGTGCCCCTGGCCCAAGGTGCCCCCAGCCTTTTGTTCGGTTTTTGGAGCCTTGGAGGCCCTCTGGGCCTCGTGAGGGGTGCCCTGGAGGCCGCCAGAGCCACCCCGAGAAACCTGGGGGTGCCTTGGGCCAGGGGTACTTCTAGCAACACCCGAATCCACGCCAAGAGATCTCAAGTGGGCCACCCGCGTGCGTCTCCGTGCGCACACGTCGGGATCTTTCCAACACCACTGGTGTGCAGACCAGTTCAGCACACATTGTCACACGTGCACGAGAAAACCAGAGGGCTTTCAATAGTGACAGATCGAGGTGTCTGGATTCCTGTTGGCGCGCACCACCTCACCGTCCTCATCAGCACAATCGCCATCGCCATCGCTTGCGTCATCGTTGCCTTCACCCTTATCATCACTATGGGCCTCATCAACATCACCAGAATTGTCGTCGACATCGTTTAGTCCTCATTTCCAGCGTCATCGCAATCACCATCAGCGTGATCACCACTGTCATGTACATCGTTGGTGTTGCGGTTGCCCCCGTGGCCACTACCATTCAGCGACTTGCATGAAGTCTGCGCGGCAAATGCCAGGTGCCCGTGCGCTCATTGATATCATAGCCATAGGAGTTGCGCCGACAATATACGGGTGGGAGGGTGGGATGTTTGCACTGGTGTTGGAGTTGACGATTGTAATCTCCACCCGTGAACCCTCTTTTCAAAATTACCCGGTGATGTACTTAACCCAGTTGCATCAAGTGTCAAGATGGGTTGGCCCAGATTTGAAACAGCGATAGTGCAGGCGCCGTCGTATGGTGTGCAAGCCATTTGGAATACAAGCACGTGGCACGATTCACAGGACAACGATAGAAGGAAGAGGAGTGAGGCCCCAGGCTCGAAGAAAAACGGCGGCGGAAACGAGGGGCAGGAGAAGGACGGCAGAGGGGCAGAAACGCCAGCGCGACAGCAGCAACAAGGAGAAGGTGGCAGAGGGGAAGACGAAGACGAAAAAGGAGGATAAGAAAGAAACGTGTCGCTTTGTTTTAGTAGCACGCTGAACATGCAGGGTTGTCTCCTTAGATCCGCGTCGGGCGTAATACCGCTGAGCCTCCCAGCAGCCCTCGAAAGTGGCGACAGTTTCGCAGATCGCAGCTCCCCAGGGATGGCGGGGTCCAATATGGTCTGATTTGGGTCCGCGTGGGGCGTCAGTCCGCTGGACCCCCCAGCAGCCCTCGAACGTGGCGACAATTTCGCTGATCGCAGCCCCACAGGAATAGCAATGTTTAATTTAGATCCGCGTGGGGCGTCAGTCCGCTGGACTACCCCAGCAGCCCTTGAAGGCGGCGACAGGTTCGCAGATCGCGGATCCCAAGGGATGGCGAGGTCCAATCTGGTCTAATTTCGGTCCGCGTATGGCGTCACCCCGCTGGACCCCCACAGCAGCCCTCGAACGTGGCGACAGTTTCGCAGATCGCAGCCCCCCATGGATGGCGAGATCCAATATGGTCAAATCTAGGGCAGCGTATAGCGTCACTCCGCTGGAATCCCCAGCGGCCCCCGACCCGAAAGTGGCGACAGCTTCTCAGCCCTCAGGCATGGCGAGGTCTGACTTGGATCCGCGTGGGGCGTCACTCCGCTTCACCCCCCAGCGGCCCCTGCAAGTGGCGACAGTTTCGCAGATCGCGACCCCCAGGGATGGCCAGGTCAAATTTGAATCCGCGTATGGCGCCATTCCACTGGACCCCCAGGGTTTCGAAGACCGCAGCCCCCCGTCCCCCCCCCCAGGAATGGCGAGGTCTGATTTAGATCCGCGTGGGGCGTCACTCTGCTGGACCCCCAGTGGCTCTTGAAAGTGGCGACGGTTTCGCAGACCGCAGCCGCACAGGGATGGTGATGTCTAAGTTGAATCCGCATGTTGCGTCACTTTGCTGGACCCCCCAACAGCCCCCGAAAGAGACGAAACTGTTCCGCAGATCGCAGGTTCCCAGGGATGGCGAGGTCTAATTTGACTCCGCGTGTGGCGTCACTCCGCTGGTGTCCCCAGCGGTGGCAGCAGTTTTGTAGATCACCCCCCCAGAGACGGCGAGGTCGAATCTGAATCCGCATATGGCGTCACTCCGTTGGATCCCCCTGCAGCCCTCGAAAGTGGCGACAATTTCGCAGATCGCAGCCCCCAAGGAATGGCGACGTAACGTGGGACGACGAGGTAAGGGGCAGACTTGCAGGCAGGACAGGAGAGGAGGAGGGAAGAGAGGACAGGAGGAGGGAGTGTTACATGCACTACCATGCGACGTACTCAACCCATCTGCAGCGTGTGGCACGAGGCGTTTGCCTGCATATGCATAGACAACGACATCGCAGACGCCGTATGTTGTTGTGCAAGCTACATGGGGTACGCGCACGTTGCACGGCTCACAGGATAGCGATTGATTCGACTGGAAAGTGGCGACAGCTTCGCTGATCGCAGCCCCCCCCCCCAGGGATGGCGGGGTCTAATCTGAATCCTTGCATGGCGTCACTCCGCTGGAGTCCCCAGCAGCCCTCGACAATAGCGGCAGTTTCGCAGATCGCAGCCCCTGAATGCTGGCGAGGTCTAATCTGAATCCGCGTATGGCGCCACTCCGCTGGGATCCCCTAGCAGCGCTCGAACCTGGCGACAGTTTCGCAGATCGCAGCCCACTCGGGATGGCGATGTCTAAGTTGGATCCGCGTGGGGCGTCACTCCGCTGGACCCCCCAGCCGCCAGATCGCAGCCCCTCAGGGATGAGGATACCTAATTTGGATCCGCATGTGGCGTCACTCCGTTGGACCCCCCAGCATCTCGTGAAGGCGGCGACAGTTTCGCAGATCGCAGCCTCCTGAGGGATGGCGGGGTCTGATTTCGATCCGCGTGGAGAGCCCCCCGCTGGGACCCCCCAGCAGCCCACAAAGGTGGCGACAGTTTCGCAGATTGCAAATCGCAGCTCGCGAGGTCCGCGTGGGGCTTCGCTCCGCTGGATCCCCACAGCAGCCCTCCCCACAGGGGATGGCGAGGTCTAATGTAGATCGGCGTGTGGCGTCACTCCGCTGAAGCCACCAGCAGCCCTCGAAAGTGGCGACAATTTCGTAGACCACAGCCCCCGAGGCATGGCGAGGTCTAATCTGGAATCCGCGTATGGCGTCACTCCGCTGGACCCCCCAGCAGCCCTCGAAAGTGGCGACAGTTTCGCAGAATGCAGCTCCCCAGGGGAGGCGGGGTCTAATCTGAATCCGCGCATGGCGTGACTCAGCTGGACCCCCCAGCAGCCCCCGAAAGTGGCGACAGCTTCGCTGATCGCAGCCCCACAGGGGATGGCGAGGTTTCAGTTAGATCCGCGTATGGCGTCACTCCGCTGGACCCCCCAGCAGCCCTCGAAAGTGGCGACAGCTTCGCTGATCGCAGGCCCCGAGGCATGGCGAGGTCTAATCTGCCTCGCGTGTGGCGTCACTCCGCTGGACCCTCCAGCAGCCTTCGAAAGTGGCGGCAGCGTCGCAGATCGCAGCCCCCAGGGTTGGCGAAGTAACTTGGGACTGAGGTGAGAGGCAGGCTGGCAGGCAGGAGAGGAGAGGAGGGGAGAAGGAGGAGTAGGGAAGAGAGGAGACGGGAGGCGGGAGAGGAAGACGCGACCGCAGTGCGTTGTTCAACACGGGAGCTCAACGC